AACCTTTCTCAGTAGATCCTACACTGTGGCTGAGAAGGAGATGGCACAGGGATTAGCATCCACATTTTTCAGATGAGGAAACTGAAGCTTGGAGAGGCTGAGTGACTGGTCTAATCCAAGAGTTCCCAAGCCTCGTGTTCTCTCCACTCTATTATGCTGCCCTCCTGGTTTAAGGCTTTCTTGACTTGGCCCAGGAATCGCCTTTGAACCAACTCTCCCATGCCAGCCCCCAGAACCCAAGGCTCAGGGCAGCTGCCAAGGGCAGAAGTTGGGGCTGGCACAGAAAGGACAGCGACAGTCTCTTCCCTGATAGAGAAGCCTGATGGTCCATGGCCTCCTGCCACTTTGCCGGCAGGGTCTCTGGACCCAGCAGGCCTGGCTGCTGGAACAGGGCTCAGGGGTAAGGTGAACTCACCCCCATAACCCTTCCTTGGCTGGGTGGGTGTAAAAATGGCACAACGGTGTTGTCAGACCTTCTCATCTAACTTCACGAGGGGGATGAATCAAGATCAACAACCCAAGGCTGATTCCTATGTGGTGGAGGTCAGACGTACCTCCTCTCTCCAACCTTTTTACCAATTCTGACACAGCCTCTCTCCCATGGCACTCTCTACTTCTCTGCTGGGTTCAACAGTTCATTGCAAAGGCCACACAGAACTCACAGACTATACTCACAGTTATGAGGTTTATTAGGGAAGTAACAGGATCGTGAATGACTCAGGATACAGTTCTTCAATCAGGACACCCTATTCTCAGCTGTGCCTGCAGGCAGGCTTTTCTCTGACCCTCGGCCTCCTGGCCTGGCCTCTGCCCTGCTCGGGCCAATGTCATACAAAGCTCTTTAGCTCCGCCAATTAAGTGCCCAGAGGCACGCCACTCCGCCAGGACGCCTCTTGCCCAAAAGTGGTTAGCTCTCTCGCTCCGTTGGTCTGCACACTCACTGTAACCACCTTGCTCCATGGGCTGGGAAGCCCACTGCGCCATCTCACATCAGTACCCTGGTTCTGCCACCGCCGTTTCTCTGTCCTTCTTGCCGTCTTACATCGTCTTTGGTGTTATAGCTCTCTCTCTCTCTGTCTCCTGGGTCTAAGAGGTTCTCAGCACAGGAACCATGGGTCCAAAGGACACGCTCCGCTCCCCTCTCTTCTTCTTGGTGGTAGTGAGGTCCCCACCCCTGCTCTGAGATTGACTCTCTTTTAAGCCTAGCAGGATGGCAAAACTGACCAATCCCCTTATTAGGGTTCCATGCATCTTATTTGCATGGTCCCACTGCCACAGGGATTCCAAGCACTTTATTTGCATTATTAGCAAGCTGTCCAATCCCCTTGGTGGGCCACAAGCACCTTACTTACACAGCCTTACCTAATCATTTTGTAGGAGTCACAAGACCATGGTGAAAAAGGCTGTTTAAAAGTGATTCATCACACCACAGTGGACACTACAGCCTGCAGAAACTTAGGAGGGGAGCTGAGCCCTACTCAGTGAGCATCTACTTGACTTTGGCTCTTCACCCAGCAGAATCCAGTTGGATTCTATCAAGAGAATGAGGCTTCAAAATGGCAGAACCCTTTGTTGGGCACTGCCTCAGGCTGACATCCCTAAGCAGTGCCAGAGGAGAAGACATGCTTTGGCCTCAATGAGATGCATCAGTTGAAGGTCCCAGTGATGGGGTGAAAAAATACCCACAGAAAGGAGAAGCAGCCATTTCACAGGGAGGAGCTGTTTGCTGAGCCCAGAGATAGGAAAAACGGGCCAGCCTGACTGGTGTTTTCCTCCTGCAGGCATGTGACCCCTAGTCCCATCCCAGCCAAGGCAGGCCCGTCTCCCTGAAGCCAACCCAAACCTGCTGAGTGGGCACAGTGGCCTCGTGAAGTGGAGAACGGTCTTCGCTCCCACCCCAGCAGGCAGAACATGCTCACACGCACTTCCTCATCTTCTATCTGTATCCTCCTGAGAACCCTGGGAGGGAAACACTGTTATGCTCGTTGTATAGGCCAAAGAACTGCAAGAGGCTACTGGAGGCTCTGAATCTGAACCTTGGGTAGCCTCAGCTCCAGAAAAGGAAAACAAGCAGGATGACAGCAGGATCCTTGGGCTGGGATGAGAAAGGCTGCTGCCCAGTCTCAAAGGGAGGGCACCCTATAGGCAGGGAGGATTATAACCATGGACGCAGGCTTGTTTGTGCTTGTGTAGTAAAGAGGGACTTCTAAGTACTATAGTTTTAAAACAACAGAACTGAACTAAAATCTGAAGATCTGGGTTCTAAACACAGCTCTGACACCAACTAGTTGAGTCATGAAAAGAAACTTCTCTTGGGGCCTCAACTGTAAATTGTGAGGATTAGACTGGATAATGTCTATGTTCTTACAACTCTAAACGCCCTGAATAATGACTGTGGCGTCTCCGGCCTCACGGCCCATTGGTGGTTAAGAGCCATGGATCCTGGACACCTTGGCTCAAATATAAACTCTGCCACTTAGTAGCCGAGTTGAATTTGGGCAAGTAATTTCATTTTTCCATACACCAGTTTCCTTATCCAGTGATAATGAATGTATCTACCTCATAAGGTTACTATGAGCATTCACCAAGTTAATACACGAAAGGACGTGGCACACAGGAGGTGTATATTAGCTTGTCAGTACTGGCTGGGATCCCATTCTTGTCTGTCTGAACCTCCTGGAAACTGCAGGTCAGAAACGTGGTTTCAAATCAACCATCTACACAAGGATGTACACAGCTGCTTTCCCCATGTTCTTTCTAAGTGTCCTTCCTAGTTTGACCACAGGACACTATTTAGGGTCTAAATCTGGGGTTCATCTTGGGATGAGGAAGTTCCTGAGACGCCCCATACCAGCCTACAGGGCACAGGACAGTTTCAAAGGTTGGGTCTGCTACCTGGGAGCCTCTTTCCTGCCTCTTCAGCAGGCCTCCAAGGGCAACGTCTCTGGGAAATAAAGATCCCCTGGCTTCCTACCAGACAGGTTTGCAGCTTTTTAAGGAAAGCACTAGGTCAGCACAGTTTAACCCTACAGTGACTGACAATCTCAACTCTCCATGGGGACAACTAATCCTGGCAGACTTACAGCCACTCTCTAAGCACCAGACCGAGGCCTTGGCTGGTAGAATGGATGGATGGAAGACTTCTTGTGCTGTGCTCAGATTTTAACCAAGATGAAGGCCCTGAGGTTGGCTCTCCTTTATAGCTAAGGACTCAGCAAAAGGAATGATGTGACCTTCCGGAGGCTGCAGGCCCCAGGAGACAACACCTCTCCATACGATACAGCTGGTCAGAGCCAAACCAGGGAGACAGAGGTCTTCCACTCAGAGCTCCACCGACCCTGCCCTCCCTCTGGGGTAGAACGGACATTGTGGTTGTCATGTGTGTACATATCTGTCTCCTCCACCTCAGAACATGAGGAACTCAAAGGCAGGGACCTTCTCTTGGTCACTCCTGTCTCCATTCCTGAGCCTAGACAATGCCTCACACACTGTAGGTATCTCATACATGTCTGCTGAATTGAACTGAATACTTCTCAGACCTCAGATAGGTGTGTTTCTCCCATCACTGATGCAGTGTGCTAGACAAACTCCTCAAAAATGAATAACACGTGGCCCCCTCAAAAGGCTCACAGTCTCTTAAAGTGACTAAAAAATCCAGAGGGTGGGAGAGCTTCTGCTGGGAGTAACCACACCCCACTCCCTCTTACTCTTGTGCTGGGCAGGGCCCAGGTGGAAGTGAGGTCTGACTGGGAGAGGGTCACTGTCCGCTGTACTCCACATGCGCGCTGGAGTTGAGAAAGGCCGCACTCCAGGCACCTGGGCTCTGAGACGGTGAACTGAGGGGCAGGGAGAGAAAGAGCTGCCAAAGAAGGGGCTACCTCCTGGGACTCCCGGCACATTAGAGAGAGAAGGCTATGCCTCTCCCTCAACCTCGTAACAGCCCCCAATCCCCAACCTCTGGGGGATCATTCTCACTGTCCCACTAGCACCTCACCATCACCTCAGAGCTGAACTGCTTCAGCTGCCCTCCCTGTCTGAGTTAATGACACTCTGTTCTCCCAGGCAAAAACCCTGGAGTTATCGCTGTTTCTTGACCCTGTGCATCAGGCCTAGTGGCTGCATTCTGTACCCGGTCTCCACCAGTCCCTTTCTTTCCAGCCTCACTGCCACCTCCTAGCTCACCTCATCACTATGCAGCAGCCTCGGAGTGGTTTTTCTTGCACTAAACTACTCTTCACGTTGACCACCAGGTTAATCACACTGTTTTTTCCCCCAACCACATGACTTTTAACATGTCACTCCTCTTCTCCAAAGCCCTCTGATTATGGGATAAACTTCTGTATTTGGTGGTGCTAGTTACAATCTGACTTGAATCTGGCCTTGTTCCCTGTCTCCATTTTACAACCACATAAGGAAATCCTGCTCATGCTTCAAGGTCCAGTTCTAACCCCTTCTCCACGAGAGGCCCACGGGGCACCCTCTTCTCTGCCGCCGCAGCCCATCAGGCTCACTGGCCACTGGGCCTGTACCGCTTCTGCTATAGCTCTTAGCATGTGAGCGTAAGTCTGGGAGCCTCCGCTCTAGGTCCACAGCTCCAGAAGGGCGTGGCTCAGGCGCAGACGCCAGTGCTGGGAAGGGCAGCGGGGGGGAACTGGTTCAATCTCCCCGTTTAAAGAGGAGGAAACTGAGGCATGGAGACAGGAAGCGACTCGCCGACATTAACTACACAGCGACTCCGAATCGGTGCTAGGGCTAGAGCCGGGGTTTGGGTCCCCCCGCCTGGAGCGAGGCCCATCTCCGCATTTTCCTGGGGCCACGCACTCCCTGGCTGGTCGGTCCATAAGCCGCGTGAACGGACCGGAGAAACCCAGAGAGCCTGTGAAGCGAGAAAAGAAGAGCCGCGAAAACGAACGGCGGGGAGGGTACGTGGGAGTCGCCCGCGCGGGCGGCAGCAGGCCCGGCCGAGCCCCCCTCTCCTCCCCGGCCAGGCCCGGACTCACTTTGCCGAGAGTGTGTTGATGGAGCCAGTGACAAGCATGAGCCCGGCCAGGAACAGCTGGTACTTGGTCCAGGCCATGGCAGCGGATGCGGGGTGCACAAAACAACGCGACCCCGGCGCTCACTCCCGTTTGCAACTCCAGATCCCGCTCACTCGGGGGTCTCGGGCGCGAGCGCTTCCGGGCCGAGTGTCATGTGACCGAGCTGGCCCCGCCCCGCGCCGTCTCGCGCCGCCCCTGCGGAGGGCTCCCGGCTCGGGCTCCGCGTTCCTGCGCTGGCTTAGGTACAGTGCCCGCGCTCTCCGGGATAGCGGTCCTCCGTTATAGGGTCGGAGACGGGCTTACTGGTCCTCACAGGGTGACTCTGGCTAGTCGCGAGCCCACATTTCCCTGTCTGTAGAAGGAGCTGATGAGACGATGCGATAGGGGTGGATGTTAGAGGTTTCTGTAAACCGTTCAGGAAATATTAATGGGAGAGGGGCCTGTGTGAGAGGTTGAGCTGAAGGATGTCAGAGACAAAGCACAAAAGAGAAAGCTCCAGCGTCAAATCTCGCTACAGGGCACCCAGGGATCCTAGCCCCGCTGTTGCTCACGTCTTCAAAATAAAAGTGGCATAGGAGCCGAATTCAAGCTCTCAGGGAGACCATTTCACAGTTTAAGAAATTATTTACCAGTTATTGTTGAGTGGATTCTGGCTCATGGCAACCTCATGTGTGTCAGAGTAGCACTGTGCTCCATAGGGTTTTCAATGATCGATTTTTTGGAAGTGGATCGCCAGGCCTTTCTCCAGCGTGGACTTGAACTGCCAGCCTTTCTGTTAACAACCAAGCGTGTTAGCCATTTGTACCACCCAGGGTCTCATAGCTGAAGAAAGGAGATTGAGAGAAGCCAAGTGAATTTGATTAAGGCATGCTAGTGAGTGATGCTGTGCGTGTTTGCTGCCGGATTCTTCAGGCTCTTCCTCACAACCACCCCACGAAGCCCCTGCTCCACTGCTCCTTCAGGGACTCCCCCGGATGCTGCTCAGAGGCATCCACCGCAGAAAGACCGTTTCTAGGTTTGGAGAGGATTTCTAGCTTTTAAAATCATACTCCTGGTTGTCAGGCCCCAGCTGCAAGCCTGCTTTTCCCCAGAGCTCTAGGCTGCACCCTGTGCTGGTCACACCTCAGCCTGGAAGGCCAGGCCCTTCCGGGAACTGCTTCACACCCAGAGGGCACATTTTCCCCATTACTGCAGATCTTGTTCCTGGAGGTCCAGAGACAGGGCCTGCCGTAACTCATCCTGCTGGCCTTAAGGCTGTCTTGAACTTTCAAAATAATAAGTGTCGAATCAGAAAAACTCTCCAAGGACTGCACCAGACTTTTTTATTCAAGGAAGACCTGACAGAAGAGGTGCACATGTGGGGTCCTAGATGAATTGTAGGGGGTCACCAGATAGACAGGGCAAGGGCTTTCTTAGGGAGAGGAAATGGTGTGTGCGATGGCTGGGGCGTAAGGGAGCACGGGTGTGCTCTGGTACCCACAGATGGTCCTGGAACTTTCCCTTACTGGTGTCTGTAGGAGAGATGGGAGACCCAGAAGGATGTTTCTTCTCAGCTTCTTGTCTTCAACATCATCACTAGTTTAGTGTGATTTGAAATGAATTTATTTATTTATCTAAAAATATTTACTAAGACACTACTGCCTATAGAGATGAATGAAACACAGCTTTTGCTCCAAGGAGCAGACCAGAGCAGTCCACATCAGCTGGGAGAACTCCATCCCTACTGGAGGCACAGGCCTTAGGGACGCGCTCAGTAGTGCTCTGAATCAATTTCCCTACGTGTGTCCAGGTCAAGGGCGCCATCTTGAAGTAAACATTAGTAATGATCAGTGGTAGGGCCTTGTCACCAGCCTGACATGATATCACTAGCAGCACAGTCTTTGTCTGTCTCAATAACCACATCATAGAATGAATTTTGATTTATCATGATGTTCTGACCATTCATCCTGGAGCTCAGGAGACAGGAAGATTTATTGGCAAAGATACATAGAGCCCATTAAGTACCAGGCCCAGAGCCAGGTTGGCTCCAAAGACGAGCGAGACAAGGCCCCTGCCCTCAAGGGGCTCAGGATTTAATGGCGGAGAGGGATGAGTGCACTGTTAACTGTGTAGCCATGTGAGAGTGTGTGAGAGGCAGAGGGAGCCGGGGAGGGGTGGGTTCCTAAAGAGGGGCAGGAGACAGGGAATGAGAGTGACAGCCAGAGCTGTCCTGGATCAGACGCCTCATCTATGTCAGTCCTGTGCCAGGACCTTGGCATCTGTGGCCTCAGTTGTCCAGCTGTGAGGCTGGAATTCAGATGAGATTTGAGCAGGGACTTGAAGGGGGAGCAGGATTGCTCCAGGTGGAGAAGAGGGGTCGTTCCTGGCAGAAAAAACCATGGGGGGCGGGGGGTGACTAGCCAGCCCTCATGCCAGGGAGTGAGCCACAGCGAGGCTCCCAGGTCTCTACCGGTCTGGCTAGAATGGGCTTTGAAGGTGAAAACTACGATTGACACTAGTACCCCCAGGCAGCAATGCGCTCTAGGCTAACGCACCAGGGGCTTTGTTGTGCACTGTTGAGTTGATTACAACTCACAGCAACCTTATAGGACAGAGTAGAATTACCCCATAGGGTTTCCTAGGCTGTAATCTTTATGGGAGCAGATCACCAGGTCTTCTCTTCCACGGAATCGCTGGTGAGTTCCAATAACCGACCTTTCGGTTAGCAGCCAAGCGCTTAACCATTGCACCACCAGGGCTCGGGAGATGGAAATTCTGAGAAAATCAGAAAGGAATCAGGACAGGTATTCATACGGCTTATGTTCACACAATAAAGTTCCCAGGTGACACAAACAGTTTGTGCTCAATTACTAACCAAAAGGTTGGTGGTTCGAACTCACCCAGCAACAGAAGAGACATCAAACCAAAAAAACCCAAACCTATCGCCATCGAGTTGTTTCCGACTCATAGCAACCCTATATGATAGAGTAGAACTGCCCCAAGAGTTTCCAAGGAGTGGCTGGTGGATTCCAACTGCTGACCTTTTGTTAGCAGCTGAGCTATTGACCACTGCGCCACCAGGGCTCCAGAAGATACACAGGCTTTGTGAAATACTATTATTTGATCAAATTCAGGGCTATAGGTCATTTTGTATGTTGGATATATATTTGCCTCATAATTTCGGAAGCCCTGATTTCCTGGGTTAAATACCATTATTTGTAAACCAACACATGTGACTACAGTTAATACTTGTCCTCCTGAATTCTGGACGGATCTGGTGTCCTTGAGGACCCAGCCCAGGGAAGCCAGGAGAACTTTGGTGGCTGATAATGGGTGGGGTGGGATGGGGTGGGGCAGGGAGGCTTGGGGGAAGTCTTCATTTCCCAGCCTTTAGAAGGTCAAAGATGGGCCAAGCTTCTTCTGTGTGGTGATCCTGGGTGGCCAGAGGAGATGGCCATCATGGTTGCTTCCTAATTGCTCAGACGTGACTGTCCTTGTTACAGCTGTTGTGATGTCATGGCTGATCCCGCAGAGGCACAGAAAAGAACGGGTGGACTGGGTGTTACAAAGCCCTTCTTACGATTTGCATGAGAACTTGACAGAGTTTTCAAGCCTTTTCTTCCAGGGTCTCAGAGTTGGGGACATTTTGAAAAATTTGCATAACACCTTCAAAGAGCCTCTAATTTCCAGAGTCAAATAAAATGCCGTCACTGCAAAGCTCTGCATTTGTATTCAAAGCTTACTGCTAGCCTGTGGTTTGTCGGAAAGATTTAACATTTTTCCAATCAATTTAATCACGTTGTGGATTAGGAGAGTTATGGTACCCTGGGAAGGACAGAGATCTGTGGGCAGACAGGCCAGGGCCTCTGCTCAGTGGAGGTTGGGAGGCCCAGTGTTAAAGAAAGCCTCATTTTATTCTCAGCGGGGACACTGTAACTCCTAGTCAGACCTGGGCTTTCTTACAAGTGTCTGCTGTATGTCCTTGGGCCACTTCCCTCCTGTGTAGTCTGTTCCTGCCTAGAATGTGACCTCGTCACAGGCAGACACTGGGTGTCTCATCTCTCCCAGCAGGCTTGGCTTTGAAGGGCAGCCATTTGAGGCTATGACTGAAGAGATAGAGCAAGGGGCTTGGGAGGAAGAGGGCCAGTTAGGTCGTGGCTGTCTCCTGGGGGAGAAAAGGAGACATCATTAGAGACATCATGGGAACCAGGCCTGACAGGAGTGGGCCCTGGGGAGAGGAATGTGGACTGTCTGCACTGACTGAGCGGCCTCCTGGAGCTCACCAGCGTGTCTGGCTGACTTTATAGCTGGTTTCTATGATGACCAGAGATGATTAGATTAGGAGTCACCTGCTTTTCCTAGCTTTAGGCCCTCATAAGGTCATTCTCAAACCCCAGGTTTTTTCTTTCTGATCACCTTCTTTGGCCTCTATTCCCAGCACTACTCTCTAGCTCTGGGGCAGAGTGACTGGATCCTGGAAACTCGTGTTTGGGTTGGTCATCTGGGAGCAGGATCAAGTCAGATCCAAATAAAATAGAGGACTCCCAGTTAAATTTAATTTCAGATAAACAAGGAATGATTTTTTTTTTAGTATAAGTATGTCCCAAATATTGCCATGAGATGTACTAAAAAAAATTACTCATTATTTATCTGAAATTCAAATTTAACTGGGTGCCGTGCATTTTCTTTTTTTTTTAGATTTTTTTTTTTTTAATATTTTATTGTACTTCAGGTGAAGGCTTACAGAACAAATAGTTTCTCATGTAACAGTAGCACACATGCTGTTTTACGACATTGGTTAACAACCCCACAACATTTTAACCCTCTAAATTCTCAACTTTTTTTTTTTTTTGGTGAAAATACACATAGCCAAAGATACGCCATTTCAAAAATTTTTACATACACATTTAGGTGACATTGACTACGCTCTTCTAATTGTGCTGTTATTCTCACTTAAGATGAAGGCTTACA